ATGGATGGATGGATGATGGATGGATGGATGGATGGATGGATGGATGGATGGATGGATAGACAGATGGATGGATGGACAGATGGATGGATGGATGGATGGATGGACAGATGGATGATGGATGGACGGATGGATGGACAGATTGATGGATGGATGGATGGATGGATGGATGGACAGATGGACTGATGGATAGACAGATGGATGATGGATGGATGGACTGATGGATAGACAGATGGATGATGGATGGATGGATGGATGGATGGACTGATGGATGATGGATGGATGGATGGACAGATGGATGATGGATGGACGGATGGATGGACAGATTGATGGATGGATGGATGGATGGATGGACAGATGGACTGATGGATAGACAGATGGATGATAAATGGATGGATGGACTGATGGATGGATGGATGGATAGACAGATAGAGAAGAGTAAAGTCTCTGGCTGAAGGTCTTTAGTGAAACTTTTTTAAACATGATTTTTCTGAAAGGTGTCTCCAGGAGGAACCAGTTTGGATCTCTGTGATCTCCAGAGATAGGAGACCTCGGGAAGGCGGTGGGTGATCATTGGAGATTAATAATAACAATAATGGATTGCATTTATATAGCGCTTTTCTAGGCACCCAAAGCGCTTTACAATTCCACTATTCATTCACTCTCACATTCACACACGCTGTCAGTCATCCTTAAACAGAGAACTGACAGTTCGCTGTGTTCGGGTGTTAAGCTTTCACACGTCGCTCACATCTATCACTCTGTTTCCATCGTGACTCTTTAGTCGGAAGTGTTTTTAAAATTGGATTTTGAACAGGGATGAAAACATAAATCTTCCCAGGGCTCAGAGTGGAACATTTCATATGTTTAACATCATGTTTCACCCCTCTGGTGTCGCTGAAGCAGAGGCTGGGCAGGCTTCAGCACCAGGATACCAAACATCAGGTGATGAATGCCCTGTGTGTCGTGTTTGCACCAACGCGCTCCTGCAGGCTTTTTGCTGTGGGATGAATATTCCTGCTGAACTTTACTGTTTGATGCCACATTTAAAACTTGGGGAAGTTCAATCAGGACACATGCGGCTCACGGTGATATCCATTTTGTGGAGGCTGGAGGCTGAACGCAGCAGCTAATGGTTACCGCTGGTAACCGACTCTGGTCATTACAGACTGTTTAACTCCCACCGTCGCTCCACCCACCGGCCTCAGAAGGAGAAACCAAAGCTCGCCTCCACGGCAGCGAGGAGGCCTTTTCCTGAAACCATATCTGCACTCGGAGCACCAGCTGAGTCCGGCTGCTGTAATTTCCCTGGTTTCCAGCTGCTTTCTGGTGTGATTTTCACGAGCTCTCACTGACGTCCTGCACAGTTTGGCTTCTGTATCGTCTCAGGAGTCTGTGAACTCTGCATGCTAAAATCGAAAACATGCAAACTCATCGTCTCATCTTCCCTGGCACAGAAACAACAAAGTCCTTAAGGAATCTGGGAGAAGGCTGGAGACCCGTTTATATCCGAGCCACCGGCGTGGGTCAGAAGCTGCAGCGGGTGGAGCTTCACGTGAATAGAGTTTGAACTGAAACCGTTTGATTGGCAGCTCAGATCTGCTGATTTCCTGCTGTGTTTTATTTTGGCGGGTTCTCCTCCGTGGCCATATGGAAACATGCTTCGCGTCTGACCCTGTGGACCGTACATGTCCATTTGCACGCTCTGACTCACAGCATATGGCAGTCTGCGGCTACAGGGGTTCAAACCGCTGCTCTGCAGGGATCGTCACAAGTCCATCATGAAGCGCCTGGCGGCTGAAGCGCAGGTGTGCCTCATTAGCTCATTAGCGAACTGCCCGCCTCGCCTCTTCCTGAGGAGGAGGGTGGAGGTGAGTATTTGGACTTGACTTGTCAGTCTGAGCGCTGGGTGGGTCTTTTGTCTGGCAGAGGTGATCTGCATCAGTGCTTCTTCACCTCTGCCAGCCTGTGAGGCGTGCAGGAGAACAATCCCTCGCTGTTTGATTCGTGGTGTGAATGTCAATTTGAAAACTTCACACGAAGAAAAATCCTCACATGAATCCTGCTTCAGTGGAAAAACAGTCCGGACACGAAGCTGCAGCTTAAGGACGTTGTGATCTTTGGTCTGACTGTTAGCCGCTGCTCTAACTTCTGCTGTTTTAACTTTAATCTGCACATAAACCGACAGACAGTTTTAAAAAGTCTGCATGCAGAGCTGTGCTGCAGTAACGATCTGGGAAATTGAAGCTGAGATGAGATCAGTCTTAGTAAATGTGTAATTTTCATGCTGCTTTTTAATATTCCAAACGATGAACAACGTCTCCTTGTCAGCATCAAGCTCGTCTTCATCAAATATCAGAGACAAGAATGGCGCGGCTGCAGAGTGCAGTGCGACTGTGGCCTTCATCAGTTATTAAAATAATAATGAATTACATTAATGACACTGAACACTGTGATGAAGAGAGGTGGTGAAGGCAGACTCACTCTCAGTGTTGATCAGGGTCTGAACGATGTCCTGGTGTCCGTGAATGGAGGCCAGGTGAAGAGCTGTGTAACCCTGTGAAGATTATCAGCTGTTACCTCATCACTCACAGCAGCAAACACTGAAGCAGCTTCTCGTTAGCTCAGTCATAGAAGCTATATCACTGTGTAATTGTACACGAGGACTTCACGGACTACCTGAAACAAACACTAACCTACCACATTTACTCTAAACTACCACAAACAAACACTAAACTACCACATTTACTCTAAACTACCA